TTAAAAGCATTTAGTAAGCCCATTTACTGACTTTGCAAATAAATCATACCTGGATAATCTCACTGGAGTTCCAGTAGTGTTTCAGTCTGAACCTTTATACTATCCTTCATGAACCTGGCCATTCAAATGTAATTATTTGTATTTATTTTAAAATATTTAAAACCATTTGTTGTTAGCATAATAAGTTAAAACATAAGACATAATAAGAACATTCTCAGTAAAAGATATTTTATGAGGGAAAGGTAGGTAATCAAAAACAGTTTCATGGCAGAAGAACAGGTGCTCCAGAGATATTGCCAGAAAATAATCTGCTATAAGAATTTTCAGAATCCCATGTTAGTAACATTTCCCATTATTGCCTTGGTGATCCAATCACCTTAAAAAAAGGGAGGCATTCTGATCTCATTTGTATTGAGCGTTTTTTTTCCCCAATCTAGAGTTATTTTATTATTTATTTCATTTTCATTTTTTGTTTTATTTCATTTATAATTTCATTATTTTTATTATTTTATTATTTTTATTTTATTATCTATTTTATTATTTAATTATCCAAAGCCGTACAAGACTATATCAGAGACATGGCAGTGGTTGCCCCATTGCTTCTTATTTTAGAAGGGCCCAAAGTGTTATTCGGAAACTGCAAGGTTCATACAGACTTTTACATCATGGTTTTCATTCATTTTAAATGGGGGGGGGACCCACCTTCATTGATTGTTGGCAATATTTTATATCATAATTATGCAATGCAAATTGTTAGGGAGCACAGACAGCTTAAGAGTTATATAGCAGGAAAAAAAACACAGCCCAGCGTAGTTGAAGACATACCTTGGACCAAGCAAGCCTGCCTTAGTAACTCCAATAATTCTGGTGTGATTTTCACCAGGCCAGGTGAGAGCATTCATTTCACCACCATTTGGAAGAGCTTCTACTAGGTTGCTACTTGAGAATGCAACAGACACAGTAAAACCTGTGTGTTGCTTAAAGTTTAGACGACATGAAAATCACCGGATGGGTTTTCCTCTGCTTTTTTTCTACTATCTGGCCTACCCAGCCTTTCTCAAGCTGTGAGGTGAGGCACTACACAATATAAATTGGCTCAACTGTGACATTCCATATGTCTCTTTTTTTTCAAAAGTTTCAAAGACGATAGTCTAGTGTTACACCCAGAGTCATAGTGGGCCATTTCTGATTTGAAGCTGCTATTGGGCAGATCAGACCCATACAGTTCCAGATGTCATTTTGCTATCGTTTGAAACCTCGAAGGGGTTCTTTTTTTTCACCCTTTGTGATTTTTCTTCTTCTCTAAATAAACAGGCACAGGAATACATGAAATGTGAGGCTGTGGGGAAATCCTGAACCAGAATGCAAAATGTTTTTAGAAAGGGGGTGGTGGTGTTGGAATTTGTTCAGCCGGCACACATTGTCTCTTCGTGTGGTATTTATTAGTCATACTTTTATCGCTAATTTCATCTGTTCCCGAGACTGGTTTTTTATTTTGTTTTGCTTTAAATTAAGACTCAGTTCAACCACCCTTTTGGAATAGAAATAGCACATTGTAAAATGCTTAATCACAAGCTGGTGTGCATGAAGTTTACAGAATAAGCTCTGTCTGCAAGGGCATCTGTTTATTCTGTTTGCAAAGAACCATGCCTCAGAAAGTGCTAGGAGGTTTTCCCAACACTGGGTGAGATTTAGATAGAGGAGGAGGGATGAGGGAGCACCCAACTTCCAATTAAGAGTCACCATTTGGTCCCCAGGGTGTCCATTAATAGGTGCTACAAAAGATCAGCCTGAGCAGAACACCTGGGCCAGATGGACATGGTCTACAGTAATTGTCCATGTGCAACTCTTCTATGGAATTCCCATAAGAACTGACTGGTTTAAATATACTGTATCTGCTGCCTTTAAATAGGACAAGTTTATCAACTGGAATTATAAGCCTTGGACAAATCCAGCAAACTGCCGTTGCTTAGACATGCCAAGAACTGGATATATGTTATGTCTGCCTAGTATGTATTTCTTCCTTAGATATTGCAAGATGGGGGGAGGGGCATGAACAAGAGTGACTGTAATACTAGAGCTTTGAATTTATGCTTAAGCACTCTTGAATTCCCCTAAAGTTGCAACATGCCTTTTGAATATTACTAAGACCAGCAAAAATACAGCTCTAGATATGTGCCCAGGATCAGCTTTACTTATAACACTTTTCAAAACTTGTATTCCTTTTTAAAACCAGGTGTCCTGATGTTGTTAATGAGCAGGAAGGCTCTGTTCTTAGGATACAAATACTTAAGTGAAAAGTATTCATGCCAAAGCAAAATTGCAGAATACTGAATTTTCTCTCTCCCCACCCCATCCAATTTTACACAGATCCCCCCTCTATTTTCCCAACAAAGTTACCTATTTAGAATAAGCGGGGGATAAGGATTATTTACAGGTGCTTTTGGAGAGCTTTGTAGATACCATCTGTTTTAGGATGCTTTCTGAAGACAGATGGATAAAGCTTTTTTTTTCATCCTTTGTAAAATTATCTCACTAAGCAGACTAGCTAAGCTCTTTAGCTTCCCAAGCTGATGATAGGAAAACTATTGTAAGTAGTGCTGGGCTAGTACAAACTTCTGTTTATATAGGAGTAGGATTAATTTACAAACCATGACAAAATCAACTAATTTTTGTACTTTTGGTAAAACTTTTTTTTGAAGAAAAGACTGAAGCTGTTGATGTGGGTAAATGCTAATGTAGTTCTCCTGCAAGAGAGAACTGGTGCCTGGCAACTATGGCGCTGGCTCTTTTTCAGCAACGATGCCACTTCTGCGAAGTGAACTGCAGCAAGTTTCCCTTCATTTTGTATATGTGGCTATGAGGGTGGGAACAGCTTGCTTATACATTTTGATGAAATAATGAGACCTTATTGGTTTTGTCTTAAATAAAGAATTGAGAAATAAACAGCTTTCTGCACATTCTCGTTTTTTTGGATGGGGGGGGAGGTATGAATGGTAATCATTTTCAGTGACGGTTACCTCGAGTTGCCTGTCACAAAATCATCATCATCATCAATGTATATACAAGTGGATTTGAAAAATGTGGACCACTGTCCTGTATACACAGCTTTCCAAACTCAGTGGGGAAGAACCATGCTGCCAGAGATTAGAGATGGGACCGATATAAAGATGATCAGCCTAGTTCTCATTGCAACATACTGGTAGATTGTGGGGTTTTAATATTGTCATCAAAGGAATAATGGGCATTTAAATGCTATCTTTCTTATGGATCAGTTTGCTATTCAGTGGACTTTCATGGTGCATTAACTTTAGTGTATGTTTGTACTGCCCTTCAGATATTCTTCCTTCTTTTTCAACTGTCTGGTGTACTTGCAACATTACACATCTACCTACAGTTCAGTTCGTTGTCAACTCTACTGAGTCTGCTTGAAATATGCCCCTCTTGATGTTAACCCCTCCCAGTCTATCCCCACTGACTAGCCGCCGTGTCTTCTATTGTGCCATTATTTTTTGCACAAAGCTTCTGATGTTTTAGTGATGTCTTTTAGTTTGATTATCCAGTTGTGGCAGGGAATCAAATGCCTTTTTGAAATCAGTACAAACTACATTCAAGTTGATCTTCTTTCTCTTAGTTTTTCAAAAACAACTTGGCAATTATTACTATTATATGTACAACAATGTGAAAGCTCCCAATTCTTTAGCTGGTGTTAGCCTACGCTTATTATTGCAATTCATGAAAGTGTTTTTGGAAAATAACAACCACAAATGCCTATCCTAATCCTTGGGAAGGACTCAGTAGGTAGATAAAAATGCCAAATCCAGTGTAAACATCTGGCTGACTATGTGACCAACAATAATAATTTACATTTATATGCCACCCAACGGCCAACAACTCTGGACAGTTTATAAATAATTGAAAACAGGAAACAAAACAAAATCAAAAAGAGCAGATTGATAGAGATGATAATCTAGATAGAACCATAGAAAAAGTGGACTTCAATCATCCTCATCAAATATCTGATCAACTGTCTTAGCATGTTAATTCTAGACAAAAACAATAATTAGAACATGCTTTAGGTACAATTGCAGGATTGCTCTTATTTAAAGTAAACACATGTTCCAGCATCCTAAGTTTTTTGTTACACTTAAATCACTTAGTTACACTTTCTAAAAGATATTTCAAGGGTATGAATTTAAAAAAAACAAAAAACTAAAAAAGAATGTATTAGACAAAATGTATTTTTATATCATCTGTTTGGGAATTCTGTGCCAAACACAGAAAAGACACTCTTTCAGGTATGGTAGCCCAAGCTGATAAATGTCTTAAGCTTCAGCTTGTTGTAGGGAAGGAGAATAGGAGGATAATGACTGACTGAGATCTACAGTCTGGCCTCCAGAATGAATAAGACTACTAGTACAAAATGTACACAAGTAAATTATATGGGCACATAGCATTCCTGTGTGTCCTTATTAGCTTCAGCTTTGCTTAGCAAGACACTTTGTGCACATACTTTAAATTCAGACTCGGTAACAAGTAAATCTAGTATTCCACCCCCATGCTTTTCAACTAATTCATCTTGCATTTAACTTGGTAGAAATAAACACTATAGTCAGCACAATGAATGGGAGACACCTGTACATTCAATAAATGACATACATTTCCTGGCCTGGGAAGAGCTAAAGCATCATTAACTTAAATTAGTTGGGTTTTATAAACCCATCTGTCAATCTAAAGGCAGCCAATATATGCTTTGGAAGTAACCTGGTTTCACATTATTCTGTCAGTATGCCTACTCAACACACATTTGTTGTGATGGCATGCTGTCTTAGGACGAAATTTATAAGAGCCTAGCATACCTTTACTGATTAATTTTTAACCTGGTTTTCTACCTTGAAGCAAACCTTTTGTTGTTTCAAGCAATGCTACAACACATATGGCTTAATTTGAATCCCAATTTGTTTTCCTCTTCTTACAAAATACACAGCTGGATCTCAGTATATCAATTGAGAACTTTTATTGTGCAGCCTGATTCATCCCAACAAATGGTAGATCTCTATCCATACATCGGGTGGAGTTAGAGGATCTAAGCTCCTCCTTCAGAAAGTCAAATAATGCATTGTTCACACGACCATGTATGGTGAAGCTTGCCTTTGGAGATTGGGATATATCTGCTCTCCTTTATCCAGCAAAGTAAAATAGAAACACTGAGCACTATTCTTGGGTTTTTGTCACCTTGCTAGTAGACAAAAGACAGCAGCATGTAATTTTCACTGTTTCTGTAGCAATAGACATGTTATGACACGCTGGGCAACTGGCACATCATGACAATGACAACTGCCTTCGGATGGCCTGACCTAAAGAACATGGAGAAAAGCTTTCTTAAAAAGCGGAGATGGCCTGGTCCTGTACAAAAAAAAAAAATCATCTCCTCCAAAACAAGAGGTGCAATGGTGAAAACTCAAAGAGAAGCTAAAAATGCTTCCTTAGCTTGTTAACCCTACAAAGATTGTAGGGCCTCTCTTCAGCAATACTGGTCATGAGAACTATTGCAGCAGGGCACATGACCCAAGATGACTATTCTGCTCCAGCACAAGTGGCCGAAACTCTGCATTATGGAAGCAGAGGCAACAAATAAGTAGTGGCAAGAGCTCTACGTCTTGCAGAGCTGGCTTTGGCTCATGTATTCCGTCTGTTCCTACCTCTTCAAAGTTGCCTCTCGAAATCTCAAGTCATCCATTCTCTACTGGGTGGCCCGTTTCTGCTTGACACTAGTCATTAAGAGGCCACATAAAAAGGAGGCTATTGGACAGCTTTGCTGATGGTCTTCTGCACTTAAACCCCAGCTAATGAAACCCAAGATCTGCCAAAGTAAGAAACTTGGCAGCTCTGCTCAATACTGACAGATTTAAAACCTTGCATAGCTTGACATGGCCCCAAAGACTGGGCCCAGTATGCCCTATTGGGCTTGTGCTCTAATACCACGAGAACAATTGTACTTTCTCTTGAAATGGAAATATCTTTTTCTGTGCACCATCAGTGATTAAGAAGTGTAATAAAATTAATAATAATATTTTTTTAAAAAATCAGCTTCTCTCAGCTGAGTAAAGGAAAGATGCTTTGTTGGCAGCTCTGAGGTATTATCCTCTCTGGAACTTCAGTGACACAGAAAAAGGAAACTGCTGACTGGATTTTGTGTTGAGCCTTAGCTACTGACAAGATACACACATTCAGTACTTTTTCTCTCTGTTTTGGTTCTGAAGGTCTTTTTCTCCTCAACAATAAAGTGATTGATGTGTGATTTGATGTTTCTTTTCTAAAAAAAAAAAGTTTTCCACTTGAACATCCTTCAGAACAGAAACTGGAAAAGCTGCCTGAAAGTAGGCCAAAGCATGTGACGTTTCCATAGAAACCAGTTCACAGCAATCCGTGAGAATCACAAGCACCGGAGGAGTGCTTTCCAGCAGGCAAACTGGAGCTAGAGGCGGTTATCCCCATTCACCCGTGTCCTTCGCAGGAACCTGCAGGGAAAGAAATTGCAAATTCAACTCATTTTAAAAATAGTCAAATATTGGTTAGAATTTTGTTGGAGTAACCGTACAATAGCAATGAAACTGATGATTGGGTAAGTTTACCCAAGAGTGTTCTGACCCAGGTTTCCTTAACAAGTATGAAGCAGAGTCTTGGTCCTGGCAAAACCTCTTTTATTTACATGACTCTGAATTCCTTTCATTCACAGTCAGCAAGGCTTGGCAAACAGTTTTTCAGAGGAATATTTATCAACACGAACCTTCTCTCGCTTGAGCTGCCAGATAACAAGTTTCCAACCACAGGGCAAGGCAACACTTGGCGCAGAGTCTCCTATAGTCACAAACAAAACTCTCCACTCTTAAAACGACTGAAGGAACGAACTGTTTTCTGCAAAAGCCCTCTCCCTGTCCGCTCCTCTTTTGTTTCCTATGGCAGGGGCCAATCAATGCCAAGGTGTGGCTTTACTCCTAAGTCAACCTGTTTTCTTAGTTGTTCTTGTCTTCTGGCAGCTCTGTGCATGCACACATTGGGAACAGGCTCCAGCTGTTCCTCTGCCTCACTGTTGTCTAGCTTCCTCTCTGCCTCCGACACAGAGCCCTCTTCTGATCTTTCCTCAGCCCCCAGGATTGGCCCCAATCCACCCCATTCTCACTGTCTGACTCTGCTGCCAGTTCTGTTGGCCGCTGGTGGGCCACAACAGAGAGGTAGACATTTACTCATTGCCTATCCAACTGAGTTGTTGTGAAGATAAAATGGTGAAGCCCTGAGCTCTTTAGAAGGTCTAAATACAAAAGTGAAACCAAATTAAAAATTATCGCATGCTAGGGGGGAAAAAAGACATCAGCGGTTTCACTGGCACATCTGAGTCCCAATGATAGCTTAGATGTTCCTCTTCCAAAACCAATAAACTTGTATGGCCTCATACTCTAGAGGCAGGATGCTTTTGCATTAAATATTCATAGTTCACCACATTGTTCTCCATTCTGATGGAATTGACCACTTTTGGCAGTGGAGGTGGTGATAGGTTTGGAAATGTGACATTTTGTACCAAAAAGAGAAGCAACATCATTTGGGACATTTGGAGTATTAAAAGACAAGTGGGTAGGAGGTACTTTATAACATGGAAGGCTGACTCCACAACATAATGTTCTTCCTTCAAAAAATAAAAAAGGAAAATTCCATCTCAGCCATCTGGATTAATGTTTATTTGGATTCTTTGCAATGATAACTTTATAAAAGTAATTTCCCTCCCTTATTGTGACCTCGTTGCAAATCTTTGGGGAGAAAATATAAGGCAACAATCATGGAATAAGTTAGCTCTACAATATACAATAAGGTATCTTGGGCCAAGCAGAGTTAGCCAACACAAGCCCAGTACCATATAATGTCGAAATAACTAACTTTGAAAACAAATACCAGAAACTTACTTTATTTTATTGTGTGGGGTGCGATGGCTCAGTGATTAAAGATGCCGAGCTTGTCAGCTGGAAAACTGAACAGCCGGAGTTTGAGACCCAAGCATCATATAATGGGGTGAGCTCCCA